ATACAATCCCAACATACTCCCAAAGGTTAACCTTCAGTTCTCAGAGGTACTGGACGAGTAGGTAGAGGTCGGGGCTTGGAGTTTTGGGATTTAAGAGTTTGGAGCTCTCGACTTTGCCCTCAGCTCTGTTTCAAAGAGTTCGACCTCGACCGCCAACATCCTATAAGCCTGAACCCTAAAGACCTCAAACACAAGAGCTCTTATAACATTCCCCTGATTCATAGCAACAGACTTTTAGTCGGGGCTTAGGGTCTACATGATCCTAAGCCCAGAACCCGACACCCTCAAAGCCCTGATCCCTTCAAACCTGAGTTTGAAGGGATCAGGGCTTCCTTCGGGTTTAGGGTTTAGGTTCAGGAGCCCTGAACACTTCCCTGAGTTTTAAGTTATCGGGGCAAGTTTTAGGGCTTAGGGTTTAGCTGTTTAGCTGCAGGAGCCCTGAAAACTTCGATATAGGGCCTGGAAAGATTGGTACTGTTTGCTTCTGAGAGCTTCCGAACCACGTTTTCTGGGCATCAAACCCCGCCAATCCCGGAGTCGAAATAGTCTGACTCTTAAGGACGCACCCCGCCCGTCCCTTCGACTTCCCACCTAAAATCCCAAACCCTGAATCAGGATTCTAGGTTGATGATACAAACCCCGCATTAGCCCTAACAAGGAATATACCATAATTCCCCTAGTTTACGGTCCTTAAGGTAATGCAGGGTTTAAGTAATCAACACTAGGTTAAGACTGCAGGATCCCAGAGCCGGGAGCCCAAACCCTCCCCAAAAATCCTCGTCGTGTCCCACCTCGCGGTACTTCACAGACTCTGTTTATGTGGCCTTTTGGGCCACGAAGCCCCTCAAGTGGAAGACTCCTGATAAAGCACCCTATAAACGTCTTGGAACAGGTCCTAAACCCTAGACTCTAGATCCCTAGACCCTACACCCTAGACCCTAAACCCTAAACCCTAAGCCCTAAACCCTAAACCCTAAACCCTAAACCCTAAACCCTAAACCCTAAACCCTAAACCCTAAACCCTACCCTATTTCTGTGGCTTTTTTGAGAAATCCAACCAGGCATGCTCTCCCATCGACTCGCTCGTTTCTGCTGGCATTTGCGACGGGTCGCTGCGTCTCGTAGACATGCCCGGGCAGGAGACCGTTCCGAACCATATATAAATTCACATTCAAGGTTGGGTTTCAATAAGTGTAATCACCTTAATGCCAAGTAGAGTAGGCTCTTCAAGTATACTACGGAGTAAGGAATCTAATTCTGCATCGGGGCTTAAGGGAACCGAACTGCACCTTCTGGCCAACAGGGCGGCAGAAGAAGCACTCAAAAATTCCCAACACCCTAAACCCTAAACCCTAAACTTTAAACTTAAACCCGAAGCCCTACACTCTAAACGCTAGGCCCTTAAACCCCAAACCCTAAACCAAGACACTCCTCGAGCAGGCGAAAAGCGAAGCCCCGAAGCCCAATTGCCAAAAGCTGCTTGTCCGAAGCTGTCATTCGGGTGTCTGGTTAGGGGTTATGGTTTAGGTGTTAGGATGCTTCTAGCTTCCGCAGTAGTATACCCTTTTGACTTTTCCCTTTCTTACAAATGAATACCAGGAGAAGGGGTATCCTTATTGCTGAGGGGACACACTGGGGAAGCTAGTTTCAGAGCTATGGGGCTCGCCACTCCCACTCCAAGAAGCCAACTTGAACCCAGACCACCGGGAGGATCTAAAAAGTAGATCCCCTACTTTGGGATCCTAACTGCTAAAGGGTACTTTATAGGAACCCCTTAGGGGATCTATTTTTTGGATCCTCCCGGTGGTCTGGGAAGTGGTGAGCTTTTCAAATCGTGCCGGCAGGATGAGACGGACAACCCGGTGGTGAAGGATCGCCCTGGGAGCATTGCCCATGGGGTCCTAAGTACCTTTATAGTAGAATGTAGGGTTTCTGTAGTAGCAGTTTCTATTATGACTTGAGAAAGTATCCCCCTAAACCCTAAACCCTAAAATTCCACCCTAAACCCTAAACCCTAAACCCTATAAACCCTAAACCCTAAACCCTAAACACATAGCAGTACCTAGGACCCCGTCGGCTGCTCACTGCAGACCCAGCTACGGCGTGGTTTTGCTTGCTTTCTTTCAGACTCTGATCCGAATGAGCTGTGCAACATACATACATACATATACATGGGTTTAGGGTTTAGGGTTTAGGGTTTACATATACATATACATATACATACACATACACGCAGAGCCAGACACAGAGAGAGAGAGAGAGAGAGAGCGAGAGAGATGGAGAGGGAGGGGGATAGCGAAACTAACCAAGTGAGACCAGGCTTACAGTTTGGAGGTGCACGCTGCCGCACATGCCAAATTCCCGTACCTAAGCCCTAAACCCTAAACCCTGAACCCTAAACCCTAAACCCTAAACCCTCTAATAACAGCAGAGCCTAAGGAGCCGGTTGCAGGCGGAAGGCTCGAGGAATCGAGAGGATTATCGGGGTTCCGCCGGAATGGAGATCGTCCTTTTTAGGGTTTAGGGTTTAGGGTTTAGGGTTTAGGGTTTAGGGTTTAGGGTTTCGTCGTTTAGCTTCTTTGGGCCCTCTTGTTGCAGGAGATCACAGGCCTGAGCCCTCAACCGGTAGTTTTGAGAGTCAGCTTAAGGCTGCAAGTCGCTGAAGTCTGGCATTCCGAAACGAATCTGCTCACGCCGATGCAGCGTAGTCATCCGTTCACATTAAATCTTTAAGCCTTCGCATCATGCCCCTAACTTCGTGTGCTCCTGCAGCTTTGGAATAGGACTGCTTCCAACAGCTCCTTTCCATGTGCCACGGCCTGATCATCCTTGTGAAATACAACTCCGCCCTTCTGGCAGCACCAAGCTGTTGCGGGTTGTCTTGAAGGCTCTAAGGTACCCAATGCTAAGTACTAGTGTTTCGGGGGAGATCAGTTTTTGGGGCTTATGCCTATGCAGCAGAAAGTCCGAAACTGCACGGTTGGGTGCCCTGGCACGGCCTGAGTACAGAGTGACGTACTCTTTTGGGAAGCCGTCCCAAACCCGAAACCCTAAACCCTAAAACCCTCAAATCCTACACCCCGACAGCCCTAAAACGCCAAGCCCTTAACCCCCCATGGGAACTCGAAAAACGTGTCCGGCACGAGCATGACCGCCACCCCCACACCAAAGAATGACCCCGAGCCTGCCGGTTCAAGGTTTAGGGGTTTTGGGGTCTGGGGCTTATAGGGTTTAGGGTTTAGGGTTTAGGGCTTGGGGCTTATAGGGTTTAGAGTTTAGGGTTTGGGGTTTAGGGTTTAGGGTTTAGGTTTAGGGTTTGGTGACATCTCAGAACCTTATGAAGGGCGGGGTGTACATTGGTGATTCTAGTGAGAGTATGTAGGCTCCTTAAGGGATCTCGGTGGGAGTGTGCATTGCGTATGTGGCCTGAAAAATTATGAATTCCATCATTGATTATGCTTCAAAGCCCCATTCTAAATCAGTGGGGCTCCTACATTAAGCCCCGAATCCTAAACACTACATTAAACTTATGAAGCCCCGAATCCTGGACCGCACCGCCAGGTTAAGTCGGACTCCCTTGCTGTGTTGCTGGATCGCATATCGGACCTCGCACCGCACCTCTACTCCACCCCAGGCATTGATCTCTCGGAGTTTAGGGCGCGGATACTTTGATGTCGTGTTTATGTTCGAACATTTTCGGTGTCAAGGGAAGTGACGCTGGTTTCAAGATTCAGGGTTTGCTGGTTTTCGGACATTGAAGGCTTACGGATTCCCCATTCTAGCTGTTCAGGTTGTTCAGCGCCCCTGCAGGGTGTCGAGTCTAAACCCTAAACCCCTGAATCAGAAACGCTAAACCCTTCAGCCCCTCATGCCAGTGCCATCTGGGGGTTTCGGAAAATAGGGGACCCTAATATAGTACCCCAAATAATAGGATTCTTATTATAAGGACCCTAAAATAAGGTACCCCAATTTCGGAAAATCCCATCTTGCTCGGTGACAGGTGCGCTGACCTTCGTCATCTCACAATGCGATGCTTTGCGCGCAGACGGGGACACCGGTGGTACCGGGGTCTGGGTTTAGGGTTTAGGGTTTAGGGTGGGGGGGCAGGGACCGGAAACTGCGAGCTTCTCTGGAAACCTTGGCCTGAACTCCCCTAAAGTGTGTTTAACCCTGTAGCCGAAAGGAATGGGCCTTTTTAGGGTTTAGGGTTTAGGGTTTAGGTTTAGGGGGAATCGGCCTTTTTAAGTTTTAGGGTTTAGGGCTTAGGTTTAGGGGGAATCTGCCTTTTTAGGGTTTAGGGTTTAGGGTATTAGGTTTAGGGGGAATTGGCCTTTTTAGGGTTTTTTTAATTATGGTTTGCATATACAGTGTCGTAAAAAGTGGTGGGTGCAGGACACGTTTGGACCACAGAAAAGAGGCTTCGCCCACCACCATGCACATGCCTGCTGAGCCCAGGAAAACGGACCTCCGACTGTAGTGGAAACATCAATCCAAGCATGTCGCGTACCCTAACCTACAAAAACTGTTTTGAAGGATCTTGTTCTGAACCCTAATATGGAATTTATAGGAACCCTACAAAAAAAAAAAAAGATAATGGCAGGTCAAGGATAGTCTAGCACCGGAAAAAGGTCGTAAGCCCCGCGCAGCACCTTCTCCGGAGGGTCCAAGTACCTGCATATGTTCCGACGATCCTAAACCCAGAACCCACCAAACCCAAGAACCTAAGAACCCTACCCCCTAAAGCCTAGACCCTGAACCCTAAACCCTGCCCCCACTAAGACTTATGGACCATGCCTGTAGACAGGACTCCGAAGACGAGGCGGACGCGCCGAAAGATGCTTTCAAGGACCGCCATGCATATCTAGGAGTTGAAGGGTAGGGTTTAGGGTATATTATGGGGTTTAGGGTTTACGGTTTAGGGTCTGGGGTTTAGGGTTTAGGGTATAATAATATAGGCTGTAGGAGATTAGATTTGGCGTTTTGGGTTCTGGGTGAGTTTTTGGGGGTTTGCGGGGTAAGGATGAGGGCGCAGAGCTTCCAGACTGTCAGCGGTTGTCAGGTTGACCACCAGAGCGGCTGAAGGAACTCCTTGGCTAAAAAAGGGGCCTAGATAAATTACCAATGCTATTTCCAGGGCTGCTCATTATAAGTCTAGTATCATGGGCCCTAAAACCCTATTC